AGTCTAATAAAACGTGTGCTTTAAGGCCATACAACTCACGCATACACCAGTAGTTTGGGTGGACCACACCGCCTCAGCTGTCTTTGTTGGCTGTCTCAGTCTTTGTTGGCTTTCATCTCTTCATTCTCAGTGGTTGCTGGCCTACTTTCACATAGCATCCAACCTGAAATATTCATCAAGGTCAGTCTGCTTAGTAGACTGTTAGGAATCCTCAAAATGAAAGTTTACAGACACAGACACAAAAGCTCATGTTCACATCATCAAACACACCTTTAATCTAAACACTAAGTGGAAAGAATCATCTTCTTTTCCATCCTCCTTTTCTTTTTTCCTTCATTCTCCTAACATCCCAGCCAGATTTAAGGACAGATGCTCACCCTTGTGTAATAGCAGGAGGGATACTTCCACCAGATCCTGTACAGTATTTGGGGCAGCAGGGTGGCTTAGTGAAAGCATCCTTCAACTCAATGACCTGGTTTTCAGATCATTGTTAGCAAGCATTTGCCCTGTCAAACAGTGAATCTTTACCAGTTCCAGGTGGGCTGACACTGACCTTTAACGTCTTTGAAAGGGTGTGTGCATGAAGATCAGTATTGTGTCAGGAGATTGTAATTGTTTTGGGTTTTTCTATCTTTGTCTGCCTCTTATTCTCACCTTTGTCCTCTTTTCCACCACAGTCCTGGAGATTGATTTCTCAGAGCTGACCCTGGAGGAAATCATCGGGGTGGGTGGTTTTGGAAAAGTCTACCGTGCAGTGTGGCGGGGCTCAGAGGTGGCTGTGAAGGCAGCACGACGGGACCTTGACGAGGACATAGAGCAGACTCTGGAGAGTGTCCGTCAGGAGGCAAAACTTTTCGCCATGCTCAATCACCCCAACATCATGGCTCTGCTCGGGGTGTGTCTGCTGGAGCCCAACCTGTGCCTGGTCATGGAGTACGCCCGGGGCGGCCCCCTCAACCGGGCCCTCGCAGGAAAACGCATCCCCCCGTGCACCCTGGTGGATTGGGCCGTGCAGATTGCCCGGGGCATGCACTACCTCCACAGTCAGGCTATTGTCCCCATTATTCACCGGGACCTCAAGTCCAGCAACAGTAAGATTCCCTCTCTGTTGTCATTACCTGGGTTTGTTTTGTGAAGTTCTCCAAAAATGAATTTTGTAAATATGAATGTGAATTACATGTAGGGCTGCAACTAACAATTGTTTTTATTATCAATTCATTTGGTGATTATTTGCAGGATTTCTTCAACAAAAGGAAAATTTGAAGAAAACATGTCCACTACACTTTTCTAAAGCCCAAGATAATGTCTTTACATTGCTGGTTTTGACTGACCAACAGTGCAAAAGATTTTAATTTCAAATCATATAAAAACAGAGAATAAATGGTAAATCCTCACATTTGAGAAGCTGTTTAACATTTCTTCTTGAGCAATGTCTTAAAGGATAAATCAGTTGTCAAAATAGTTTTTCTGATTAATATTGTAGATGTATTCTGGGTTTTTAGTCAGACAGGAGCAAGCAATTTTGAAACACCACTGTTTTTTTCCCCAGAAACCTCTGATGGCCATTATAGGGTAAGCAATAAACCGATTGATCAACATTAATAATAATTATTTACAGCCCTAGTCCGTGGTGTCTTTAGTGTGATTTTTGCATCATTTGGGGGTTAACTCTTATCAACTCTATGGGGAATCAAGAGGTTTTTGGAAAAACTAAAGATGTAATGTTCTTTTAAAAGAGTATTTTTCAGTAGAGAAATGCAAGAGGAAACATTGTTTTCAAACCAAATACAGACCAGACCATTCATTTTTTTTAAAGCCAGGGAAAAGTGACTTTCTCAATGGCATTGATCAGTGACCTTATCAAACCTCCACAGATGTATTACATTTTGGCCGTGGAACAATAAAACACTCACTTAATGCACTTTCAAATATAATATGAAATGCATCAACGCCATGTTTAGTCTATGCTAATCACATTGATGATTTGTAGTGATAATAATCACTGTTCAGAAATGACAGCTGAAAGCAAAAGGAGTCTGCATATATGTTTGTGGAGCAGTTGTAATCTTGCATTTCACCCAACTGGATCCCCTAAATCCCAAGCCTATTACTGAGGATTTGCCCAAATGCTCAGCCCCAGCCTCGCTATTGGAGGCTCCAACAATACGTATAACCAGCTTCTTGCCTGCCATTGGCCAGTTCTCTGGTGATCAGCTCAGGCGTTTCACTTCCAATAGGCTGCTTTAAAGTGTTAAGTCAGTCTAACTAGTTGCCATCCTGGGCTCTGTGGGGATAACCCATGCTCTCATCACAGTACAGGAGCAGTACAGGACAACGCAGCATGCCAAACTATTTTAAAACTGCATGTGCAAGTGTCTAAGTTCTAAGAAGTAAGAGAGCTCTCAGGTTTTTATATGATTTTAAACATGTCATCCTTTATATTTTCTAGAGCAAAGTGGGAGTTCTTTGTGCATTATATAGAATTAAATCAGTACATATTTCACATCTATTTGATTTGCATCAGTTTAAGAAATCTCCCATAACTCCATTTCCATGTTACGTGTGTCCTTGTGGGGTCAAAATTAATGAGTTGACAACGTCTAGTCTTATAAGTGGTTACACTGAGAGCTGCACTATGACGCACCAGTGGTAGTGAAGTGGTTGGTGTCACAGCCATAGTTAGTAGTAAAGATTTCTTTCTTGCATCTCTGCGTCATTTTTTTAAAACACTCATAAACAAGAACTTACCACTAAACATTTCATTTTTAGCCATGCTAGCGCTAGTGGTTCTAGGCGTGACAAAGTTGGTTAGTCAGTCAGTCGGCTGGTCGCCACTTTGGTCCAGGGTGAAATATTTCAACTACTGCATGGATTGCCATTAAATGTTGGACAGATGCCCAGAGGATGTTTCTTAAACACTTTGATGATCTACTGAATTTCCCTCTAGCACCATCATGAGGTTGATATTTGTGGTTTTGAGTGAAATGCCTTAACAACTGGGCTACTTGACTTACAGGTACATGCATTCACCCACAGGATCTCTTGTAATAACTTTGGTGATCCCCTAATTTTGCATCTAGCAACATCAGGTCAAAACCTTGTATGAAGGTGTATTTTGTGTTTAGTGTTATATAGCAAATGTTAGCATGCCTACATGCTAAACTAAAAGGGGGAACATGGAAAACATAAAAATGAGCTTGTTAAATCACAGAGCAGCTAGCCTGGCTATAGACAGTCTTGTTACTTTACTATGCACCTAATCTATTTTGGTGTTTCATACTGTGAAACAGTGGTGGTGAGGTGTACTCTGTACACGATCACATCATATGCCTGCTTTTGCGTGGGAAATTTTACTGTAATTCATGTTTCAAAAACAAAATTTGTGTGATACCACCAAACACTAAAGTTATTATATTTTTTATTTGTAAGACACTCAGTAATTTGTCATTTAGCAGTCCTAATCAATTAATCCAACAGGTTTTTTTTGTACCTTAAACCTTTCAACTATCTCAGCTGCCTCCGTTTCACATCACGCGCCATTTAGTAGCTGCTCTTATCTAAAGCACTCTGCATTACGGTGAGTGCATACATTTGGGGCATGATAGGCCTCTGGGGGAATCAGCTGTGTTTGTTTCATGTTCTGCCTCTTGAGCTACACAGAAGCAGGATTTACTTTTGCCACATGTTTGGATTTAGTTTCTTCGGAAATTGCCTCTGTAGCATTAGAGCCACACGAGCAGCAGATGAAGGAGCACTTGATGTGCACCGCAGCCTGCAGACACACCCTCTCCACTGGGCACAGCCACAGCAGATGGCCAGGCACTGTGGAACTGAATGAGTGAGAGCGAGCATGTGGTTAGGAGGAGCGCTACTTTGCGTGTGCGTGTTGGAAATGTGTTTTTTTTAAAGCCTATCAGAGCAAATGGGCGTGTTGTAACAATCTATTTTTGTAGTTTAATGGTAGTATTTGTTTGTAGTAGATGTTCTGTTGTATAAAAATAAGCAGTGAGATCATTAGCATTGTCAGCGTTTTTCATCTCTGTTTCCCTCTGTTGTAGTGGCTCACGGTTTCTTGGTTTCTGTGTCTGTTCTCTCTCTATTCTGCTTTTATCCTCCTAATCCTTTCATCATGGCCTCCCTTCCAACCGCACCCTGTTTTGTTCATCCACCATGTGTCCAATTTATGCGTTTCCACATGTATTGTGTTTTGTGGTGGGCCTGATCCTCCTCCTGCTGCCCCTCCCAACATTACAATCCTGGTGATGATTATCTGAAAACTTTTACTTTACTGTCAACCCCCACCAATCTGCATGTACCCCATCCAACATCCTCCAACCTCCTCCCCATCCTCCAACTGAAATCCCCTCATCACATCCCGCTCCACCATTGCCTGCCACTCCAGTCCTAATCCTTGAGAGGATTGAGATGGAAGACCTCAGCAACAAGACTCTGAAGATCACAGACTTTGGACTGGCTCGAGAGTGGCACCGCACCACCAAGATGAGCGCCGCTGGCACCTACGCCTGGATGGCTCCCGAAGTCATCCGCTCGTCCACGTTCTCCAAGGGTAGCGACATTTGGAGGTGGGCAGAGGAAGGTGGTTTATGCAGCAAACAAACTGCACCAGGTTGTAGAAGTGGTCTGGAAAGGGAGCCAGAAAGAGAATCAGTTTATCCACCATGCACAAGAAAAAGTTCAGCTCTGGCAGCAGTTGCCATAGTAACAAAGCACAGACTGGCAGACGTTGTGAATTACGAGGTGGGTACAAATCTAGATGAAGCTAAAGAGCACATATAACTATAAATACACATTCAGCATTAGGTTTATGTACTGGTGCTGAACAGAAAGTCATCCAATTTGTCTCTTTTATTTAAAAGATTTAACATTAACTTAACACAGTCTGATACAATGTAGTGTGATATAGTAATGTATAGTCAAAAGATTATGATTTTGTACGCACTGCAGTAAAAAATATGCAAATGTCCATAGTGGTGCAAAGGATTCACCAATAACAATTTTTTACTAAATATCATTTTTAGGTCAACATGTAAAAAATACTTCTGCAGAGATAACCCTCGTGACTGCAGAGATGTACCCATATACTTAAAATTCAGGGTGACCATCATTTAATCACTGTGATTACTACAAGTACACATGAAAAGATGATCAAAATCAAAATAGATGATATGAAGTCATATTTGAAAATGACAAAAATGGTTTTATTTCTCAAATGTAGGATTTATTGCTTTGCTGTTTATTACTGTACTAAACAAGCAATTGAAGACATAGCCATGGGCTCTGTGATGTATATATTCTGACCATTTTATAGACTTAACGATTCATGGATTAAATCAGAGAATAATCTGTAGATTAATCAATAATGTAAATAACCATTAGTTTCAGGTTAAACCTGCTTTAGACAAGTTAAGAACACTGGAGCCAATTAGCGTTTGCTCTGTGTATGAACCTCATGATGTTTGGCAGCTTTAAACCAAAGAATATGGATCATCCTATTTTAAGACCACAAAAGCAAAGATGACCTAGCATATGTGTAAATATCTAATTTCAATGCTCCTTTTCTTGCTTCAATGCCGTGTGCCACTACTCTCTTTTTTTCTTCTCTGACAATCTGTTGTTGTCCTTACACGTGCAGTGGCATTTGCTGTCTAGCTCAGATGTTCCTGACTAAATGTGGGATTTCCCTCTAAAATGGGAAGTGTGATCAGTGAGAGAGCCAAGAGAAGGCAGCATGCATTATAACAGTAATGATAGGAAGTCAAATGTCCTAAGGAGTGTTGACCATGGAGGGGAATTACTGTGTCTCCCTAATCAATGCTTCTGTGCTAGTTTAGAACAAAACCTGATCAAATAAAAATCCTAAATCATTTAATGGCTTGTTGTTTGAAGTAACAGTATTTCCAGGTATTATTTGATCCCTGCCTCATGTTAAGTTGCTCACATTTACTAGAACTGGGTTAGTGAATTTGTAACAAAAAGACACCCACTAGGTAACTATAAAGGATCATAAAACTCAGTCATTCCTGTTTGTTTTGTATTTTATTTGTTGCTGGTCATTTACTCACAGTTCATCATGTGTGGTTTTGGCATTAGTTGTGTGGATCTGTCAGCCGCTGCACTAATCGGAACTTTTCTGTCTCACCATGGTTTTTATGAGTGCAAAATATGATTATTTACAGATTCATTAAGCACCTATTTTCTATGTTTTTCTTTCTCTTTTTTTTTATAAAGTTATGGCGTGCTGATGTGGGAGCTGCTGACAGGAGAAGTTCCATTTCGAGGGATCGATGGTCTTGCAGTGGCTTACGGGGTGGCAATGAATAAACTGGCTTTGCCCATTCCCTCCACCTGTCCTGAACCCTTTGCACGTCTTATGGAGGGTAAGAGAAAAAAAAAATTTTCTGCTCAAAACGAAGCATTAGCCTCCAGATTGGATGGAAATAATCATATAGTTATTGCAGAAGTGTCGGTTTCTGTGCCATAAAGATACCATTGAACATTTATTATTAAAAATGTGATGAGTAGCCACAAGATTCTTGTGTGTTTTCGATAGCAGCAAGAATAGCCTCTGTAATATAACAGAGAAGCATCAAATAAACAGAATATATTATTACTTTCTGGAACCAGGGCCAAAAATAATTTTTGCTGAGGAAAAATTGGCCAGGTTTTTCCACTGTTTTTCATCTTTTGCCACAGACTGCTGGAGCACAGACTCTCACTCCCGGCCACAGTTCACAACTATTCTGGACCAGCTGACGGCCATTGAGGAGTCTGGCTTTTTTGAGATGCCAGCAGAGTCCTTCCACTCTCTGCAGGATGACTGGAAACTGGAGATTCAGGAAATGTTTGATCAACTGAGGACCAAGGAGAAGGTAAAGATAAGAGGTCTTATTTCTGTAATCAAGTCTGAATCTATGTAAACATATGCAATTAAACCTCAGGCTCTTTTCTAATGACAGACATATAAGAATCGATTTGCATTATCAAGTTTAAGGTTGGGAGTACAATGCAGCTGTTGCATCAGTTTTTCCTACACCTCTTGTTTTTGTTCCTTCAGGAGCTGCGATCGTGGGAGGAGGAGCTGACCCAAGCGGCACTGCAGCAGAAATGCCAGGAGGAGGCGTTGAGGAGGCGTGAGCAAGAACTAGCCGAGCGGGAGATCCACATCCTGGAGCGGGAGCTCAACATCATCATTCACCAGCTCTACCAGGAAAAGCCTCACGTGGAGAGCAGGCAGGGCAAGTTCCGCCGCAACCGCCTTAAACTCAAGGATGGGAACAGAATCAGCTTGCCTTCAGGTACTGCAAACGCACTGCTGCCGTGTGTCAACAGTATGCACAAGTTTGCAAATTGATTCGCAGTTCGAGTTGGAATATTGTGATATAAGACAAGATATCATCTGGAATTTTGGATCTTAAAGGGTCTATTAGATATTGTTGATACTGTACAATTTTATAGACTTAAACTAGAGGCCACTACCTACTTGGACATCAACTTTACATTACTAATAATTGTTTCTCATAAATATATTACACCCACCCTTGAACTGAACTTCAACACCCATATTAAATATTGTTAAATGATAAATATCAAGGAAATGTTCCAAAAATACTGTGATATTTCAGCTTGTTATGTTTCCAAGCCTTTAAGGAGGGTATGGTTGCTCTTGATCTTGTCTGTCTCATGTGTGGTCAAGTTCTTGTCCCAACAATTCACTTAATTTGATGAGCTTTCCGTCCACCCTAAAACAGCTTCTAACCTAATTAAGAAACTTGCATCTGTAAAAACGCATAAATTAAAAATGTAGACAGTACCTGCCGGTCGACCTGCGCGTCTGCTTGTCTGCCTGCACGCATACACTGCACATGAATATGTGTTTTGGGGAAGTGGCTTTGGAGGGAGACCTGAGGGGAGTGGTTGGGATTTTTTGGTTGGATACTTTGTAGTGTCTCCAACGTTGCCTAGCCAAGCTTTAATGTGCGCTGTTAAAGGGGAAAAAACAATATTAATACTATTTTTGAGCAGGTGTTATTCATGTTTAACTTTTCTGTCTTATTACTTTCTGATATTGTTGTTATGACTATCCTGCATTGGAGATAGCAGCTTTAAATGTTTAGTGTTTTATTAGCTTTTCTTATTTCTAATTTAAAGTTTTTCTTGCAAGTTAATACATGTTTTTTGAAACCTTAATATAGATTTTCAGCACAAAATCACAGTGCAGGCTTCTCCTTCACATACTGATCGGCGAAGGAGTTTGCTCAGCAGCGGTTCCAGTCCTCAGACCAGTCCACCTATTCTACCCCGCTTGAGAGCCATCCAACGTAAGAACCATAAGAAACTTCTATTTAAAAAATTTTTAATTTAAAAAAAGGATGTCTAAATTCACTTGGTTTTCTCAGTTCAATTATTACTCATCATAAGCTTCCCTGATGTCTTCCCTGATGTGTGCTGATGTATTCTGTTTAAAATTTCTCCTTTTGCAGTGACTCCAGGGGAGGGATGTGCAGCCTGGGGTCGCAACACAGGTTTTCAGCAGGATGACGAGGAGGGTGAGAGGAAGGGATCCAGGAAAAAGGGCAGATCCCGCGGGTGTGGCCCATACAGGGAGCACAGTGCTGATGCCACGTAAGGGGACCAACAAACACCTCAAAACAGTGTCTTTTTTTATGAAACAAAATCAGATTTTTCATCATTTCTGTCTTTATCCTTTTTAACTGTCAGTGTGAAGCCTCCCCAAGAAGGCAGCAGGCAGCGGTCTTGCAGCGCCCCAAACCTTCGCAGATCCCCGAGACACAGTCCAGCAGTGCCTGGAGTGCCAAGCCTTGTGGAGATGGGTAAGCAGCACCAGCCTATTAGGTCTATTTTGTCTGGCATATATAACTCCACGCAATAATACATAATAATAATAATAATATGCCTTTGAATATATCTACTTCTGTTTTTTATGGATGCTTCAGTGTAGCCTACATATATTTTTTTTTTTCAAGAAAACCAACTTGATAATAACGCGAACGATTGTGTGTTTAGAAAATGAAGACTGCTGCTTCACTACTGAGCCAGGAGTAGCTCCTGGTCAGTCCTACCTCTGCATCCCCTTCCAGAAAGAGGGCCACACGGGTGGTGCTGCTACTGACGGTAATGGAGATGAGTACTGCCCCAGCGGCCAGGTTCCAGGAACACCACCATGCAGGAAGAGCCCCGGTGGGGGCCGGCGGTCTGAGCTGGTCCTTTTGGGCTGTGGAGCTCTGCTGGCAGCCGTAGGACTAGGCTGCAACCTGCTAACTTTGTCCCAACCAGAGGAGAGCATCAAATCACGATGGGAGGGTTTCTTCCACAGAACAGGGGGCCAGAGGCGGAGCACCAGCCCCCAGACTCGCAGACTGTTCCGACGGGAAAGCCCACTGAAACCCACAGCACCTTCGCTGCCCGAGCGAGGCTTGCCACCCTCTTACACGCTGCTGTCCTTATCATCAGTGTCTGACTGCAACTCCACCCGCTCATTGCTGCGCTCTGACAGCGAGGACTTGTTGGTCTACCGCCCCTCCTCACCGCCCGCACAGCCTCCTGTCACACACCATCAGGCTATCCAAGCCCCATTCAACCCGCTGGTCAACACCCACCTTGAGAGCTTCAAGCGTAACCCCCGCCAATCTCTCACACCCACACATGTACCCTGCGCCCCAAGTTCCTCGCGTAGCTTGCGTCGAACACCATCGGACGGGGCCATCAAAAAGAGCTGCCCTCCTAATAATCTGGAACCACTGCCAGAAAGAACAGCATTAGAGAACACGGGTAAAGTCTTGTGTCTTCTTCAATTTCAACTAGACGTACAGTCATAGGATTTTGAGTTTTTGCCACAATGTGTTTTTGAGGACTGACAGACGTTTTTTTAGTTTGTTAAATTATATTAATTTCCCTCATAATTGACCATTTAATTCTAAAAATGTATTTTACGCCACACTAGTGACCTTAGTGGTAAACATATCTGCTAACATCTGAATGTTAGCTGTGAGGATGTTGCAGCAACATTTAGCTCATCAGCTCATAGCTGTGCCCAACTACAGCCTCACAGAGCTGCTACTTTGGCTGTAGACTTTTAGTCTTGTTATTTTACAAAATATTATTTCTGTCAGTGTGATAACACATTGAAACAGCATTGAAACCATCATGGAAAACCAAAATGTTATTGAAGTGTTTTACAGTGTCACATATGTAGATCTATTCCATTTATTGGCTGACACCTGATGTTTAATAAATTAACAATATTGGCCTGAAAATATGCAACTAAAATATTTGTCTAACCCAATACATTTCTGGAAATATGTTGTTGGATTTACTCTTTACTTTCTTTCCCTCTTTACCACAACAGGGGGCTTCAGGGGTTTAAAAGAAGACTGTCCTGAAGTCCCCCGGCTCCCAGATCCAAATGTTGTGTTCCCACCAACTCCCCGTCGTCGTTGTGCTCCTGAACGCCCCAAAACCCTTGACTTTGTGGCTCGACCTCGGCCTTCACCACGGGCACGCTCTGAAGTGTTTTGGGCGGAAGTGAGGCCCAGGGGAAACGGACAAAACCTGGGGAACAGCGAGTCCCCCGCCCACACCTCCAGCACAGAGACTCCTCCAACTGTAGAGTTTGGTAGAGACCTGGTGGTGCTGCCCACCCCCATGGAGGCCCCAACGCCCTACTCCCCCCGAAGGAAGGAAAACCTGTTGGATCAGCTGGATGAGGGACAATGCCGGGATGGAACAGTCCCACTCTGCAGACCAGAGATCAGCTTTCCCAAAGACTCACCTTACCGCTACAGACCTGGATTCTGGTCCTAACTCAACCCCATGTGCATACAACCCCAGCCCTTTACCAATCCAACACCAGGAGGGGATTGTCCCTGCTGTTAGCCTTTGATTTGTTACAGGTCTTGGTACTTTCAAAATGAATCTGTTTCTAGCTTTAATCAGTGCATAATGTGGGCGGTTCACCTTTCCCCATCTACAATATTGTGACTAAATCACCAGAAGACATTTACTATGAATATTTGATCTTTCTGGAGTTTGTTGTATTGCCATTTGTGATAAATTGGCATCTAAAACTACTGAAGCAAACCCTGAAAAGTATTTGAAAAAAAATATTTGACCCAGGTCTGGTTGTTAATGCATTATTGGGACAGAATAACCATTTTCTTGATTTCTCTCACATTTGTCATCCATGATGTAAACGTTTTCATTTATTTGGGAATAAACTGATTAAGTGCTTTGTAGCAGAATGTCATTGACAGTTTCACAGAGCTTTACATACTTTTATTAATTTCAAGCCTGAGTTCAAGATTGTGCATTTAATGAAGTGCACTTTCGGAAAGCATCATGAATGTAAAGCTTCAGGTTTTTGCCATTGTCAAAAAACGTTGTCTCTGATTATTTGTAATTCGTCAGTAAAAGCATTGTGTTATTTGACCTCCTGTATTATTCACTATGCTTTGTTAGTGGCTGAGCACCTGTCATCACCAATCACCTTGTACAGAGCACCATCCCAGGGACAAGGGAATGCTGTTGTATAATATAAGCACTTCTTTCCATTAGCAACCCGCAGTCTTGAAACATTGTCATTACAATGACTGTACTATAAAGAAGAATGTCACTACTGCTTGGGTTCGAATAGGGACCGAAACACTGTCCAGAAGTCACAACCAAATATATCAAAGAACTCATTAATTCCCTATTGAGTTCATTCTTTATTTGTGACCCTGTCAGAGCAGCTTGTTTGGATCCCGATCCACCAGTTGAGAAACATTTTTCCAAATTAAAAAGGGAACATTGTATTTGTAATCTGTAAATTGTCTGCCTCATAAATTGTTGATCAAGAGAAGATGAGGGATGTAAAGTGTGTTTTTGATTATGTATGTGACAAACTGCATGTGAGTGTTGAATGGCACACAGGTGAAGCAGGCCCTGGTGGCATGTGGAACTTTATTCCCAATTATTTACATTTGTAATGATTTATTTAATTTTATTTATTGATTAATTTATTTGATGGTTTATTTTTGTAATGCATTGTATTTGCCTTCATTTTTGACACTTGTTAATGACATCCATGAATGTTAAATGTGGCTTCCAAGAAAATGCAGCTACATGTTTTTTGCTTCATATTCATTTGTCTGTTTCATGCATTTTATCTTCAGGTTGTTTTTAGTTTTTTTGCTGCCGTTTTTTTTTAACAAGGTTGCAAGTAATTCCAATCAAACTAAAGAACTAAGCTGGCACAATTATAAATTTTAATTAATATTTGATAACCAATTAATTGTTTAAGTAATTTACCAAGTAGAAATACCAAACATTCCCTAGTTTCAGTATCTCAGTTGTGAGAATTTGCTGCTTTTCTATATCTTACCTGATAGTAAACAGAATTTTGGGAGGTTTTGGACTGTTGTCCTGGGAAGACAAGCAATGTGATGGCAATATTGGGCTTTATGAAATTGGAGTGGTTTTTATTTTATTTTATAGAATAGATAAAATAATAAACAAATTAATCAATTATGAACATCATCATTAGCTGCAGCCCCATATCCAACAGTCAAAAAAGTTAACTGAGCTAAACGCATGTAAACATGGGATGTGCACATTGGTTAGTTCTTGTTTCTACATTTTACTTTAGTTTGTCTGCACCAGACTGGGGTTACATATTAATTTAAAATAATTTATACTGTTTTTTTAACCTGCTTGACAAATTCACTGTATTAGGGGAATCTCAGTTGGTGCAAGGTTACTGGTGCTCTCTGAAATGATAATCCTACTCATCAACTGTCAAACTATCAGGTAAAAAACGAAAACTTATTCATTTTCAGTTATTTTAAAAACACTATCTGACTCTTAATGCCTGTCTATCTCAATTCATTTTCAAATGTAAAGCGACTTCTAAGCCTGGATGATAGCATTCCCTAACCTTTGATCTGTCTTTATTGCAAGTGTGACCCAATGTCCGTGTAAATGTGAATGCTTCTTCTCTGAGGACTGTGCAGAATGTGATCATGCTCAATGTACAAATTCAGTATTTCAACTAAGGGTGCTAGTTGAAACAAAGCTCTCCCTCTGAGGTGTAGCCAAGCTGTCATTATCTGTCTGTAATGTTACCACGAATAAGCTGATCTTACTGTTGCTGATGGACATTGTTCAGGTTGGGAATAGTACTATAAATGACTGACTTGTATTTGCACTGTAACACACTGATTTGAGTAAAATCATAGCAAAACAATCCTAATGATTCACCATTTCTTTCATAATATTGTGTTTCCTCATTGAATATAAATGGTTATAAAAGCGCCTGTAATCTATTTTTCATAATTACAATAGATGAAATGAGTTTGTTATGTGAAAGGGGTCGTTCATGGTGATGGATCTACATGGCTCCAATCAGCAGACAGACTTAGCTGGTAAACATTTAGCAGCTAAAGAACCTCATATTTCCCTCAGGAGTTAATGAAGACAAGCAACAGTTCTAACTGTATGTATTAGCATTAACCCAAAGAATAACCTGGTCATGTTTGAAAAACCTTGTATTTACCATAATTCTAAAGGTATTTCCAGAATCCCCAAAGACACTTAAAAAAAGTTTTTTAAACCGTTTTTCTGTTTCCTATAAAGGTAACCAACTAGCGGCCATCTTTGTTTGGATGAGGAAACAGTCCAATTTGGGTAAAAATCTTTTTTATTGAGAAGCAGAGAGAAAATGTTTCCATCCAGATGATTAGAAGAGTCATATTAAACAACCTTCTAGGTTTTTTAACCATTGCCAGGTAAATTCCTTTCTGAGAAATTGATAGTGGTTAACATTACCATTGTGACTTGAATCTAGCTAATGCTAACACATGAGAGGCAAAAAATTGGGCTACAGAGTACCAAAAAGCAGACAGACAGTTAGCTTAGCTTTTAAACACAGAGAAGCATTTAGCAGCTAGAGATCCTCATATATCCTGCAGGACTTAGTGGAGATCGAAAACCAAGGTAAAAGGAGACTGACTATTGGACTCATCAGTTAGGCAGTAACACAACTCCATATGAATGCTAATGTTGCTCTATCTGGCCCAGGAGAGGCCAAAACATTATTTATTGCAGTTTTAAATTATTAAATTCGAATGGATCCTTCCAGTTTTAAATAATAGCCTGTGTGGATGATTTTCTGCCTCCAGTACCTTTACTTTATGACCCTTATAACCCAAGCCTCACCATGGTACCTACCAAGATGAAAAGGTAATAAAAAATAATTTAAATCAGCTTTGGTTTACTTATTTATTTAAACATGTGCTTTCATCAGCATTTTTCCATAGATCTGTTTTAGCTTATGAGGAACATATGAGGAAAATGAAAAAACTGAAGGAAAATCCACTGCTGCATCACAAAAAAAGTACTTCAATCAACAGACACATTTAATACACGCATACCTTTACAATAAACACACAGTACTTGTTGATACAGAAAATGCTGTGAATGAAGTGCTTTGTTTTGGCATTAATAAACACAAACAACTTGCCTCTCCATTAAATTCTTCATGATTTCTATAAAGTAGCATATTTACATTTTGTGATATGTCTCTTAAATTCATACTGCAATTAGCAACTATGTGCTCTTGATGTCCTTGCTTAGCATTTTGAGTTAGAAACCTACCTATTGAAAGCACCTTTACTTCAGATATAATCGAGAGTATAAAAAATCTTGATCTTTTGTTGTACTTTCAAAATCAAAGTTTGGTGACAAATGTGTAGGTGGTTGTTACTCATTTACTCCATGCCATTCAAATGACATCTTGTGCGAGGGCACGTGCTAAAAATTTCCTGTTACACTCCCCTGCAGACATGCTGGATTCACTCTATGAACCTCGCTGATCCTCTCTCTATCACAAGTGTTGGCCTGTATGTGCAATGTTTGGACTGGCAGTGCATCAGTTTGTAGTGGTTAAAAAATACTTGGGATGGATTCATAATAGATACATTTGGCGGTTTGGACACAGAAACTCAGTATCTGGTACAATTAATCAAAATAAATGCTTCAAGCACACAATGATCAAGTTCAATCACATAACTGGCAACCGGATGCTGTGCAAGGCAAAAGCAAACAAATAGCGTTTCACACCAAGACCTCTGCCTCATGGTGTGTAAGGTCTGGGTGGCACACAGTAGGGCTGAAATTTATGACAGGTGAGAAGTCACCAGACAGCGAGTGCTTATGTCGCCTCTTTCTTATCCCTTTGGGCATTCCGGCGAATCTTCATCTCTGTCAGCTGGATGTAGCGGATGACATTGGTGTCTGGAAAACAAAGACAGGAAAAGGCTGACTTATTTCCTGCACAGGCAGGAAATGGTTCATCAATATGCTCATAAATCTTCCAACTAAACTGAACACAGAGACCTTGTAAAGTGGCCACAGGAAGTAGTTTTTGGAAATATTATATATAGAGTAAACATATTTCCAGATAGAACACACGATGCATTTTTTTAGTTTATCCTGCATTTTAAAAGGGTATTACAGGAGAGACTTTGGCAAACAATTGTTAATAATCAAGGAAAACTTGAAAGTCTGCAGTTATTGTACATTTACTGTATATGACAACAACAAAGTACTCAATGCAAAGAGATGAACCACTTGAAATAAAACTATTGTGTGCTGTGTTTCTCATAGCTTCGGTTCCAAGGTCCCCAGAAAATTAGAGCTACTTTAATTTCTCTCTCCATTATGTTACAGTAGAAAAAGAATCTATAAACATTAAAGGTACCCTATGCTGTTTTTGGCCACTAGTAGCGCTATATGGTACAAGCACACAGGGGCGTGATACACACTTCTGCCAATGGTCGCACAATAGGTGCGTTCGAGATGACTGCGGCTGACTTTCGCTGAGTTGATAGTCTAACGTGAGCTGCGGGTGACTGCAGGGGTGGGGTTTAAAAACGATGCCATCAAGTCGGACACATTCTACCTGCATGAGCTTACTGTCAGCTGAGATCAATGACTGATCTTGCGGCATTTGCAAAGAAAAATGTCGCGAGACCAAGCAATAGTGCGGTTCCAATTTGGTGCAGCTGTAGAAAAGCAACTGCGGCTGCCGGACTCGGCACCTGCAGGCCGCGTTGCCCCGTGAGGTTTCAATGTCATGGTGACGTTTTTCAGCGCCGGCGAAAGTCGGACACAATTTCAAACCAACATGCCTCATTTTAAGTCCAGCATGCATCACATTAAGTCAGTGCTGCGCCGCATGAAGTCAAACACACCGATTATCTGAATATTATATATTATATATTTGAATAATAAAATTAATAACGGCTGAATTCCATTTAGCTGCTGCAGTTTCAGGGTCGTGGTATTGTGCGTGCTAGCTCACTGTCACACTGTCATGTTTTACTGAGACACTTGAATAGAACAGAGCCATTGTTAGTGTTATTAGTAACACCTCTGATTTCACTACCACGACAAGTCAAATGGCTGCTGGGAAAAGAGCCTAGAATGCATTCGGTCTCAGCATCTAGCCTTCTAGTTACCATTTTGTGGTTGTCTGTTAGGACCCCTTATCTGCCGTTTTGGACTTTTCACCTTCCTCCCTTACCTTTTTTTCGTTGTCTATCTTGAATGATCACTTTTTATAAAAATAAAACCAGCTTTGAATCATTAACACAGTAAACCTGACTGTCTCTGAGTGGAGCACCTGGGTCTTCCACCTGCCTCATTGAGCATTTATACTCACTTGCTCCAAGGCTTTTAACACTGGTATAACGCACAGGTATGCAATAGGGCTGCAACTGACAACCATTGTCATCTTATTTAAATGTTGTTTTTTTATTAAAGCCACAATGTGGAATTCTTAATGGATTATTCTGATGGCATACATTTTTGTTTGAGGCAGTCCCACTTAAATATGGAGCAGCAACAACATAAAACTAGCCTACTGCATTACAAAAGCATTATGTTAAAGTATAAACGTATTATTAGCTAAATGTGGTTAAAGTATTGAAAGTAAAATCATTATGCAACAGAATGGCTCCTGTCAAAGTTGTATTATTATATATTTTATTACTGGATTATTATTGCTCATGCGTTAATCTGTAACCAGCATTTTAATGTTGGTCTAGGTGGACTTAATTTTAACTACTGTATATACTACTAGGCAACTTAGTCTATGAAAGTGCATCACTTTTTTTGGTTGACTATGCACCTTACCAGTAAATAAATTTAGTAAAGTAAAAAAACAGTATTTCCCTCTGAAATATAATGAAGTGAAAGTAGAAAGTGGCAGAAAATGGAAATACTAAAGTACAAGTTGACCTACCTAAAAATTCTACTTACGTAGGCCTACAGGACTTGAGTTAATGTACTGTTAATCTCCACCACTGTCCAAAAACAAGAATTCAATTCATGGCTGATTGTAAATGCCCAAATATAAGTCATTAGAGTAATTTTACTTGCAATTAATCAATTAATCAACACAAAGATATTGACATAATAGGACAAACAGATGTGATTCCTTTCAACAAACCAAATCAAATGGGAAATGATCTGGATAAAAAATGGGGGTTCTTGGGTGAAAACAGACACACCGCAGTGTGATCAATAGGACCATTGAGACAGTATTGGAGCTCAGTGCTGACCTGATGGTTCCTGTTTGTGTGACTCCTTCAGGTAGTACAGAGCCTTCTGGAAGTCTCCTAGGTGGTAATAAGCCACACCGGATCGGTACAGAGCTTTGAAGTTTTTTCCTTCCTTGTGAAGCACTTTCAGACAGTATTCCTTCACTCGTTCATAGTTCACCAGCTCCATTTGCAACAGGCAGGCTAGCGGGAGAAGAGAAAAAGGAAGGCTTGAAAAAGTTCCTGATAACATTGCATGAGCCAATGTTTGAATTACAAAATACAGCAGAAGTACTAATATGTGTCATGCCAGGTACCATGATGTGATGGATTCTTTGGTTAATTCTTTTATATATAACTAATATAATGACAGAATTTGCCAAGGGGTGAATAAATATACCATCAATATTCAGTGAATATCCAAATGAAAGTGAGGCAGATAGTGGGGTAAGCCTGAGAATGACTCATACTCTGAATGAATCATTCATGAGCTCTGGAGTATTCCCAGAATCTTTCTCAGAACAGATAAGTATAGTGTGTGTGTGTGTGTGTGTCTGTGTAAAATGTGTGAGGAAACGTCTCTCACCGGCCAAGCTGTTGTAACACTCCAGCTCTGCATTCTCCATGGCCCCCTTCTGCTCATCTGTCAGAGTGGACTTGCTGATGGTCGGCAGGAGGGGAGACGGAGGCTTGGAGCTGGTATCCGGATCCCCCAGCACTCTGCACAGCCCCTTAATCTCCAGCAGAGCGCGGTGATACTTGCCAATCGCCTCTCGGTACTTCTTGTCCTTGTAGCACTGGGTGCCTTGGCTCTTGAAGTCCAGCGCTCGTCTCACGACGTCGGCTGGCTCGTTGTGGGATGGTTGTTTCAGCAACGACCCACCATGATGCCTCTGCTGCTGGAGCTGCTGGTATCTGGCATCTTTGGTCCGGCTGCTGCTGTTGGGAGGCTGAGCGCACTGCTGGAGCCTCGGGGAGCCGCCGCCGTTGTCGGTATGGCTGCCTCTGCCACCCTCCACCCTGCCGTCGTGCCCAGCCTTGATCACGCTCATTTCGACGTTATTTGATTATCGCTGCCCTGGCGCCCGGTAGTAAATTGGATGGGAAATTGAGCCTCTTTCACTCCATCTTCTCGGCCATACTCGTGTCTTCGCCTCGCCAGTGTCGCAGCTACGTCTTCTCTGTGCGCAACCCTGCGCGATGCGCGCTCCTCTGTTGTCCGCCTGTTCTCGTATTTTTCTCCTCCGACGAGCCTATTGGTCATTAAATACAAGACCAGTGGTCCCATGGGAGTCATCCAGCAGGAAGAGCAGAGGTTGATTTCATCATCAGTTTATCTTGAGATAATTTCATTATCAGTTTGTTTGCAAAGTGGACACACTTTTATTTATGCCCAGACTTCACTGACAGTGTTTCTTTGCTGAATGATGTTTTATTCACAGAGGGAAATTACATAATTTAGCCGGCCTTATTTGTTTTGAATTGACAGAAGAGTGATTGTTTTATTCTAGATATTTTCATCGGAATAGCCCTGCCTCCATAGACCTCAATATATGCCTATTTTGTGTTTATTACCTTTCATGTTTTATAAATTTGTGTTAATTATACTAGCCAAATAAAACACATCTATACTTTTTTTGAATTGGAGAGTATAATTATACAATATTTCGGCCTTCTTAAACTAAATAGCCTATCTTACCCTTTCAGTCTCTCGCTCTTATCTTCAGTTGGAGGAATGTTGTCAGATGAATCAGATAAAGCTAATCCAGCATGTCGTCTCTCGCCCGAGCAGCCTGCAGCCTGCTGTTCTCTCTGAGGGTCGCATTCTGCGCAGCCACTTTGGACAGACTCATCACAGGCTACAGTCCCTAATGACAGGCTATGATGTCATTCAAACCGGGGTTTATGTAGGGTAATAGTGTTGTGAGCCTTTATTATGAAGGGGGGAAAGCAGGCAGCTAGGTGATGAATACGGTCATCCCTTTTGCCCTGACAAAAGAACCTCTCATTTTGACTGCCACTTCACCAACAGCACTGGGTGTGTGTAAGCTTGGGTTCACCATGCTCCAAGCCATCTGTTCTGTCACATTCACAGGGCAATGTACTCAGCTGTCTGGGTGTGCCTTTGGAATTTAAGCTCTCTGGAGCAAATCTAGCTGATCATAAATAAACACCATAAACCATGAAAGCTAGTAAATATGACTGGTTGCGTAATGCTCAAAATGATGCTAGTTTGCAACATCATGTGCCTTTAATTTGGATCTAGCCATATGTAGGCCTACAGTTGTTGTCAAGAAAGACGCACAAACTACAACTCTGTAGGCTAATACAATACAATGGTTTGTATGAAATGAAAGGATACAATATTGGCCATATAGTTTAGATTAATAATAGCCTAGGCTATATTGAATTTGATTTATGTTTCCATGTATAGCCAATGGAAGTAAAAAAGACTAATATAATAATATAACTGTAAGATAAAAATAAAGAAAATAGTGTCTCTTTTTATACACGTTTTCTCTTTTATTTATTTAGACCGTTTATTCCAATTTACATTGCTTAAGACTACGTCATCAAACTACGACGTGAAGCATAGTGAATACGTGGTATTTGTGAGACTGTTTACATCATGGCTGCGGTGGATTTCAGAGGTAGCTACATCGGCGTTTTATTATTTGTTTTTTCCCCTCACTGTATTGATATTTAATAAGTCAACAATTTACGTGTTGTGTTTGGACCATTGAGATGGAGCTGCTGTGTAGATTTGCTGGTGGCAGGTTCCACGTATATTTGTTAGTGCTAGAAGCTAACGTTAGCAACAATTAGCATCTCCTCTGCTTTGATGAGCATGTCGGCTAACTTTGCTAATGCTGGCTGGCTTCCAGAGTTGTCCGTTTTGTTTTGTAGATTAGCTTATAAAGAAGCAAATCATAGATCACTTATATATGCATGTAACGTTGCTGGTAGATCAGGATTTGAGTAACTTTATACAAACATCCGATTTATTTAACGTTAACCTTAAGTAATATCCCACTGAGAGCTAAGTTACTGTAACGTTACGCTAACTGCTAACGTTACTTAACTTTCTGTAGTTTGTTGGTACCGTGATTACTAAGTGGTGTTAACTAATGGTCAATAATTGCAGCACTCAGCCGTTCTGATATGTGGATGGAAAAATCTTGTTACAAATGGCACTACCATTTGTAACATGCTTTATTTATACTGATGTTAATACTAGTTTAACACTGCAATACTTTAAACCAACAACAAATACAAGATATTAGGAAACATTTAAATGCAAAGCAAGATTTGATTTGACTTGATTTTGTTCTGTCATAAGCAACACACACATAACACACTTGTCCAAATATTCACAAAACAAAAAACATTTTTAAAAAACCCTCAAGACCCAACTATATCAAAAGAAGTTAAAGAAATGGTCTGAATATCATGTTAGAGTGTTTAGCTTTAGATGCTTACTGAGGTCTCACTATCCTGATAGCAAAGTCCAAATTGAAGAGCCCTACATTACCTGAGGCTGTGATGATGTGTATGACATTAGTGCCTGAAAAGCGTGTACTAAAATCTCAGACATTAGGTACATTTTGTTCAATTTGCAGACAACCTACTTGGGATATCCTGGGTGGACAGCGGCTGGGTACCAATTCTTAACCCTGGAAATGTACTGGACTACTTCTCTGAGAGAAGCAACCCCTTCTATGACCGAACCTGTAATAACGAGGTAGTGAAGATGCAGCGGCTTACTTTGGAACATCTGAAGTAAGTTTATCTTACACAGTGTGGTCTGGTGATACTTGGAAAATAGTTGGAAAAATAAAGACATTGAAAACTAAAGAATTTAAGTGACACATTAAACTAAGAGCAGCATCAGCTCAAAATGTATACTGAAGTCATTGTAAGATTTATGGATATGAAATAACATGTGGAGCTTACACATAAACAGAACCAACTAAAACATAAAGATATAGTAGTTATTAATATTTGTTTTGTTTTAAAGATCATATATATGTTCTAAGTACATGGCTGCAAATTCATAGTTTTGAGTGACATTTGCACAAATAAAAGCAAACATTGTGTCTGTCTAATTTTCAGTCAGATGGTGGGAGTGGAGTACATTCTTCTTCATGCTCAGGAGCCAATTCTTTATATAATCCGTAAACAACAGAGGCAGTCACCAACACAAGGTGAGCAGTGTTAGCATCTGATTGAATTTTATATAATTTAATTGTGGCATACTGGTCAGTCAGTGTACAGCGTGCATTATTATCCAGCTGCATAAAAGTAGTCATAGCTAACAAAACACTCATAGTATTTCAAACTGAAAGAGTTATTTTATTTAAATTCCAGTAGTTAGATTTGTGATTGCATGATATTACACTCATTACTGTCACAAAAACATGTTAACAAAAATGTTTGCCAATGCCACTTCTACTGTATGTTTTCATCCACCAGTTACTCCCATGGCTGACTACTACATCATAGCAGGAGTGGTGTATCAGGCCCCAGACCTGGGAACAGTTATCAGCTCCAGAGCGGTGAGAATTTATAGTATGATCCCAAATCATAAAATTCACTTGGAACTGTGTATTATAAAGGCTGTTAATGGGGTATTTTGATATGTGGGTTTAATAAAGGTTTTGTAAATCTTTTGTAGCTTTCTGCTGTTCATGGAATCCAGTCTGCTTTTGATGAGGCCATGTCATACTGCCGCTATCACCCATCCAAAGGATACTGGTGGCACTTCAAGGACCAGGAGGAGAGAGGTTAGGGTTTGGCGTTTCATTTAAATGTACAGTTTAGACATTTAGGTGGTACTCTGGAATAGGTCCTGTAACAAGATCATCAATCTTAAAAACAGCAAACAGTGAATGCTACAAGATCCAGAGCTATGGTGCCCTGAGATCCCAGAATGTTTATAATAATGAGTTCAAGTTTAATATGATTTTGGCAAAAGCTAATTAACAAAACTCTTATTACAGAAAAAGCCAAGCCCAAGTCTAAGAAGAAAGAGGAACCGAGTTCACTGTTTCAGAGGCACCGTGTTGACACACTCCTTTTGGACCTCAGGTCCAAGTTTCCACCAACATTCTACCAGGTACATGTTGCACTAAATAAAAGCAGTTGTAATTGTGTCATTTTATTTTTTCCTATTTTTTCCTGTCATAAAAATAATTTCTTGTTAACATGTTAATGTAATTGGATCTAAAAAATATTATTTTTCTTTCCACAATTTCAGCCTAAGCCTGGTGAGAAGCCTATTCCAGGTAAGATATTTTCATAGTTAGTTATCTGATCATTCAGATCCTGATGTTACATTATAAATATTGTCAGTCTGTGGACATGAGTGCTTAACATGGGTCTGTAAGTGAAATTATGTTCATTCCTTCCAATTCTGTCTTTCCCTGATTTTGCATTTTTATTTAGCATGTATGGTAATAGTATTACACTGCTATAATATTGTCTTTACATTCAGACACTTTAGATAAGACATCTATATTTCAGATTTTGTTCAGATTTTGTTGAAGATGTGATTGTAGCCCAATATCCACATGTCCATGAGAATCCATGAGTTTTCCCCTTATTGCATGCTCTTCTATTGCAGTTGAGGTGAAGAAAGAGCCTGAACCCCCCACAGAAGCTGTAAAACAAGAGGAGAGGGAACCATCCACAAAGTCCTCCGCTCCAGCTCCTCCAAGCAAACCACCTCCTGAGAAGAGAGCAAGGCTACAGTGACATTCTTCTCAAGTTCTGGGAAGATGGAGCAGGGAAACATGAAGTCCTACAGCACTACCTGAAGGAACAGCTTGGTTCCAAAATTGCAAGATCATCTGCCACTGCTCATTTCATCAGTTTACAGGATTCTAAGAATGAACCGGCACAAAAAGTGTCTTGTCTCCGTGCCAGGACTACTTTTACACTGTAACATTAGTCTGGTACACGTCATAGCTTTGGCATCATGGACATTTGAGGCAGCTGTACTATGAACAGGGGGTTAACAGCTTGATGTCAGCAGGCATTTAGCAGAGTTTGTTAAGGGAAAGGTTTTTTGATGATAAGATGACCTCAGCATCAGTGTCGGAATACTGTTGACGTCAGCATAATATTTGCATGGTAGTGACTTCAGGACAATTCCCAGCCTGCTTTACATGGGTATGTGTTATGATACATTATCTCATCTGAAAAGCAAAAGGCTTCTTTGACTTTAGCACCTCTCTTTAATTACACTTTCATCTGTTTTATTTTAAGGAATACTCTTTCTTTTGTGTTTTTGTATTAAAAAGCATCAACTACTGCATCCTAATGTGTTTGACTGTTGACAAGTAATAGTCTTAAGTCTTGCTTGATCACAGTTTTTTTTATCTGAATCATGATCAACAACTTATAACTCAAAGCATTTATATCAGGGCTGAAACGTATTCAGCCCTACTAAACTTCAAACCATGAAGGTTCAGGTTCATCGTCGGTTGTAGAACTACTGTACTTAACTACAATCTAGATGTACATTGTTTATTCTACTTCATTACATTTCAGAGGGAAATGTTGTAGTTTGTAGTCCACTATGTAAATGTAAATGCTCTGTATTTGTATAGCACCTTTCTACACTACATTGCATTTACCCATTCACAGTCTGAGCCCAAGTCCTCAAACAGAAACTAACATTCATACACAGAACAGCCATCGGGGGCAGTTCGGGGTTCAGTATCTTGCCTGACAGCTGGAGGTACTTATTTACGTTAAATCAGTCAATAAGCAACATAATGACAGAATTAATGATTGCTTTGGTCATGGGTTTCAAACGCTTTCTGTAATAAAACATCTAACAGCCAAAATCCTATCGGATGGGGGACAATGGGACAAAATCTTATCAAATGGGGATATGTGGTCTAATTTGTGTGAGTTTAAAGGTGTGAAATGACAACCACTGTTTTAAACTAACAAAAGGGTACATTGAGTAAATGAGACGGTGTGATCAGCAGGTGTCGCCATTTGGTCAGTTTTGGCCTGAGCTCCTAATTGCCTAATATTAGATTTAATTCCATGCATTTGTGCTCTCTGCCGAGTCAAGTTCAGCTCAAACCTGCCACTCAGTAAATTTCCACTAAGATAATAAGCGGACAACAAAAAGGGTGATGGCACAAAGCAATGCTGCATATTTTTTGGTTAGTGTGGACAGTAGCTGCCTGCCTTCATGACTACTACCAGAGATGCCACGAAGAAGAAGTTTCTCGCAGGGCGTGGTGGGATAGGAGTCTCTCCTCTGTGGAGGACTGGAAACAGTGCCCCAGCTGGCTGGCTAGCAGCAGAGAAGATGGCTGCAGAGGGTATTCTCAGGCCAGTGTCTGAAAACATACCACCGTTTG